AAGACAAATTCAAAATGGCATTTTTATATCCACACAACCACTCACTGACACCCCACACGCACACACGCACACACAAACACACACACACACACACACACACACACACACACACACACACACACACACACACACACACACACACACACACACACACACACACACACACATCCATATCCACATCCACATCCACATCCACATCCACATCCACACCCACACCTACATCCTCACACACACACACACACACATGCACACGCACACATACACACACACACACACACTGCAATAAGACATACCTTCTGGGACACATGCCATTTCAGTGCAAACTGCCTTTCCATCTACACAATTACACCAGTTGCAGTCATCTTTCCATGACGAATCTCCTTCGCATACAGGGTCATCGGGAGTTGGAGCGTCTTCAGCTAATAAGCGAAAAGAATAAGATTCTGATAAAGCTGCATCAAATATAAAATTAGTGTTAACTCTAAAATTACTTATGAGAGTAGCGGTAAGCATATACAAAATTAGTGTCTTCATAACTGAGTTCTCTTTATGATAAAACAGAGCAAATTCTAAAAGTACATTTACTTTATTCATCACCAACAGGCTAAGAGATTTAGACAGAGAGATGCCAACACAAATAACACAGAAAACTTACTTAAATACGTTATTCAAAAATTTTACATGTACCTCAAAGCCATATTTCTAGCAATCAACTCTTTTGTTTTAGCAATTGAAGCAGCTTATGAATACACAAGTGATTTATGCTTTAGTATTATAGTATACCAACTAAAAAGGTCAAAAGCAGGGGAGTAGATGGCTCCTTTTAAACTCTGTAGATTAGCTATGCATTTCATCCCTAGGTTCTCTTTCATACTGGATAGCAATTTTAACAGTGATATGGATCATATCTGGTTATTAATGTCGGGACTATCAAAGTGGTTGAATAAATTTAACTGATACTTGTACCATGTCATTTTTTCCTGAGAAATACTTATGATTATTGTTATGCTTTAGGGAAAAATAAGATTATCTGAAAGGAGTACATAAAAGTTGGAGAAACTTAAAATGAAGGAAAACAAAGAGAAAATAAAATAAATTGAAATGGAAGAAGAAATGGAAAATAAAAAAAAAAAAAATGAAAAGAGAAAGGAATTACTGCGAGAAAAAAGGAAAAATTGTATAAGAAATTGGAGAAGAGAAATTAAAAGAATAGAAACTAAGGAAAATACCTATGCATCCTCTCTTAGTGCATGCGCCTTGGCCTTTGATGCAACGACACCAGTTGCAGCCCAGACGCCAACGAGATCCCTCAGTGCAAGTCGCTCCTTCCTCTCGTGTAACTGTTACTGCCACTGGCGGAGGTCTGGGTCCTGGTAATATTTATTGGTTTTAAATAATATGTATCTATTTAATAACACACTTTAACTGTTCTTTATTTGTGGGTGGGGACAGAGGAATTCTTTAATCTATTCATTCTGGAGCAAACTGAGTTAATATAATAATTTAAGTTTCTTTATGTAATATCAATTGATTCAACTCCTCTCTACTTACGCTGTACTCCGCAAGCCTTGATGGTACAAGCAGCTTTTCCATCTGCGCATTTACACCAATTACAGTCAACTCTCCAACTGGAATTGCCTTCACAAACACGGTCTTCTGGGGAGGGCTTAAAATCTGTGAAAAAAAAAATTCTCTTTAAACTATAAGCTCTTTATTTCATTCATGCTTTTGAAAACCTAAGTCATATATATACTTATGTAGAAATGTTTTGCTAGTCATATTAGATTTCCATATTACGAAAGTTAAATGCTCGTAAACATGACTCAATCTATACAATACTCCTGTGTAAAAGGGGACCCAGTGTATATGAAATCATCTCTCAGAAAGTTTAGTAGTAAAAATGTAAAAATATAAATGCCTGACAAATAATGAAAAAGGGTACTGTGCATTCTCAATACCCCACGACAAGACTTGAAGATGTGGTGATCTGAACATAGACACAAGAGTCATCCACTAACCTGGGATGCACATTCTCTTTGTACAAGCTGCTTTCCCTTCAATACAACGGCAGGAGTTGCAAGACCGTAGCCAGCGTGATCCTTCAGTGCACTCAGCCTCTTCTCGGGTCACTGTTACTGTTGGCTGAGAATGCACTGTAGGGACTGAAAAAGAATGTTGTAGATCACATGAACTTCAAGAGAGCACTACACAGTAATTCTTACTTCATGATTTTGACGAATCCTTTCAATACACTTTGGACTAAATATGTGGGTATATGAAGGAGAATTCTCCTCACATCACTTTTTGAAACATTAAGGCACATATGAAAAGAACGGATCAGAATTACTCTCAAAGCAAGACGCCGTTGTGCAAATTCCTCTGCCTTCAGCACAGTGGCACCAGTTGCAGTCCTTCTTCCACTCGGAATTCCCTTCACATTCTGGCTCGTCTGTCCGTTGGTCGTAATCTGAGGACAGTGGAAAAAAACGTTAAAGACATA